CCCCCCCCCCCCCCCCCCAAAAAAAAAAAGCACATGCATTTGAGAGTTTGGCCAGCAGGCCGTTGTTACAGCTGTACCTTTATATTTCCACCGGGCCCCCATCATGACAGTTGCGTTTATTGTCCATTGTTGATGCCGGGGCTGAGGGCTGTGGGGTGGGGGGGGGAGTTCTCCAGGGACAAATGGCGATCACTCTCACTTTCCTGTGAGGTTATGGGGTCCCCTCCCCCGTGATCCATCCTCATCTGGTTCTCCTGGTCAGGAATGTGTCACTGGTTGAAGGGTGAAGGTATCAGTTGGGAACAATAAGGCTTTGTGCTGACTTGGGGGGGGGGGGGCGGCAGGGAATGAGGTGCATGTTAATGTCACTCAGAAACAGGCGCACACACACGTGCATCAGCCCCCCCCTCCGCCCGGAACACACCGACTCGCTGAAATAGCGGTCCCCCAACCCCACCCCAGTCCGCTGACTTTTTCATCTCAGTGAGTTGTGGGGGGATCATCTCGTGTTCCGGTGCCCCCACGATGCCGGCAAGACAGAAGCCGGGAGGAAGACATGGCTCCCACACTGGTGCTCCCTCTCTCTCACTCTCTCTCTTGCTCGCTCGCTTGCAGGGACCCCCGACAGCCTGGCGGAGAAGGAGAGGCAGCTGATGGGCATGATCACGCAGCTGACCAGCCTGAGGGAGCAGCTGCTGGCCGCCCACGAGGAGCAGAAGAAGCTGGCCGCCTCGCAGATCGAGAAGCAGCGGCAGCAGATGGAGCTGGCCAAGCAGCAGCAGGATCAGGTGAGCGTGCGGTGCGGACACACCGGGGACATGGGCGGGGCCGGGACACGGACTGAGGGGACTGAGACATGGGGGACACAGGGACAGACATGGGGAGGCAGGGACAGAGACACAGAGGACACAGGGATGATGGCATAGACAGCAGTGGCACAGACACAGGGACACAGACACACCAGGGACACAGATGTAGGGACAGAGATACAGGAACACAGGGATGAGGGCACAGACACAGGGACACAGATCACAGGGACAGAGACACACAGATCACAGGGACAGGGCACACAGGGATGCAACAGAGACATGGGGACAAAAGAATAGGATCAAAGGCATGTGGATTCAGATGTGGGGACAGAGACGCAGAGACACTGACATGGGGGGACACAGGTATAAAGGCAGACACAGAAACAGGGACATGAAAAGATGGACACACAAACACACACAAACCAACTAACACAACAGATGAACACAGTCACTCAGATACACTGTTTTGCTAACTGTTCCTCAGTGACTCTGTGTTGCTGCAATGTTGAAACAGAAGTGTTAAGCAGCTTGAGCATCACATCTCCCTGTCTCTGTCTCTGTGTCTGTGCCTCTCTGTGTCTGTGCCTGTGTCTGTGCTTCCTTTTAGATCGCTCGACAGCAGCAGCAGCTCCTGCAGCAGCAGCACAAAATCAACCTGCTCCAACAACAGATCCAGGTCAGTCTCCAGCTGCGCGTCCAGAATGTCTGTCTGTCTGTCTGTCTCTCTGTCTCTGTCTGTCTGTCTGTCTGTCTGTCTCTCTGTCTGTCTGTCTGTCTGTCTCTCTGTCTCTGTCTGTCTGTCTGTCTCTCTGTCTGTGTCTCTCTATCTTTCTGTCTCTCTGTCTGTCTCTCTGTCTGTCTGTCTCTCTGTATATCTATATCTCTGTCTGCCTGTCTATGAATCTTTATGTGTCTGTTTTTTGTTTATGTATGTCTGTCTTTGCATGTCAGTGTGCATTTGGCCTCCTGTCCATACTGTAACCCTGCATCTCAGCCCCTAAAATGGCGTCCCGACCCCTGTAACGGACTCCAAGCTGCTGTCCCATAATGCTCCACCGTGCTGTCAGTGACACGCTGTTAGCAGTGCACATCCCATAATACAGGGGGGGCCCTGTAGACCAGGCCTAAGCAGCAGGGTGAGCAGTGTCCCTCAGGGCCTGAGGCGGGACCCCGTCTCCCCCAAAACAGAGACGTCGAGCCACCCCCCCCCC